AATGTCTTGTATGTTACTGGGAGTGGTTGAATGATGTCTTTTATAATACTGGGGGTGGTTTAATGATGTCTTGTATGTTACTGGGAGTGGTTGAATGATGTCTTTTATAATACTGGGGGTGGTTTAATGATGTCTTGTATGTCATGGGGTAGGGGATGGTTGAATGATGTCTTGTATGTCCTGGGGTAGGGGGGGGGGTTGAATGATGTCTTGTATGTTACTAGGAGTGGATGAATGATGTCTTGTATGTTACTGGGAGTGGATGAATGATGTCTTGTATGTCCTGGGGTAGGGGGGGGGGCTGAATGATGTCTTGTGTGTCCTGGGGTAGGGGGGGGGGGTTGAATGATGTCTTGTATGTTACTGGGAGTGGATGAATGATGTCTTGTATGTCCTGGGGTAGGAGGGGGTTGAATGATGTCTTGTATGTTACTGGGAGTGGATGAATGATGTCTTGTATGTCCTGGGGTAGGGGGGGGTGGTTGAATGATGTCTTGTGTGTTACTGGGAGTGGTTTAATGATGTCTTGTATGTCCTGGGGTAGGGGGGGTTGAATGATGTCTTGTATGTTACTGGGAGTGGATGAATGATGTCTTGTATATCCTGGGGTGGGGGGGGGGTTGAATGATGTCTTGTATGTTACTGGGAGTGGATGAATGATGTCTTGTATGTCCTGGGGTAGGGGGGGTGGTTGAATGATGTCTTGTATGTTACTGGGAGTGGTTGAATGATGTCTTGTATGTTACTGGGAGTGGATGAATGATGTCTTGTATGTTACTGGGAGTGGATGAATGATGTCTTGTATGTTACTGGGAGTGGATGAATGATGTCTTTTATGTTACTGGGAGTGGTTGAATGATGTCTTGTATGTTACTGGGGGTGGTTTAATGATGTCTTGTATGTTACTGGGAGTGGTTGAATGATGTCTTGTATGTTAATGGGAGTGGTTAAATTATGTCTTTTATGTTACTGGGAGTGGTTGAATTATGTCTTATATATTAACGGGGGTGGGTAGTTGGATGATGTCTTATATATTAACGGGGGTGGGTGTTGAATGATGTCTTATATAGTAATGGGGGTGGGTAGTTGAATGATGTCTTTTTTAATACTGGGGGTAAGTAGTTGAATGATGTCTTATATATTGACGGGGGTGGTTGAATGATATCTTGTGTGTTACTGGGGTGGTTGAATGATGGCTTATATGTTACTGGGGTGGTTGAATAATTGCTTATATGTTACTGGGGTGGTTGAATAATGGCTTATATGTTACTGAGGCGTGTGAATGATGTCTTGTATGTTACTGTCACATATGAACTGAGTTATTCAGGTTTCGCTATGGAAGATCTGTCGAATAACCATTTATACTGATGCAACTTCTATGGCTTTCTGACGTTATCATTCCATTTTAAAATTTTTCACGGAACTAATGCAATCAAATATCAAACCCCTCCCCCCTCTCCTTTTTTTTTTTTTCTCCCGTTGAAAAAAAAAAAAGGGGAAAACAACGAAATGGTGTGGCCGACATATTTGTATTGGGGAGGGTGGATGGGTGGGTGGGTGGGTGGGGGGGGGGCATAATATGCCGTAAAACGTCGCAGAGAGGAGGTAGATGTAGTTTCCTGTCTCGTGCCGGTTGTGTAGTTTGTGTTTATGTCATATTGCCTTTCTGTTGTGTCTCTTTGACTCGGTCCATCCATCTCTTTCTTCGTGGGTTCTTGTCTCATTGCCTGCGGTTCTCGTACGTGATACTGTCTAGCTGCTGGTCGATTTTTTTTTAAAGTTGACCATATGACCAAACCATTTCTTTCTTTGATATTCTACGAAGTCATTTACAGGTACTGTTTCTGGCATTTGACCGATATTAACATCACTTAATGTGACTCACAGCAACCCAAGCAGACCTACCACTGGCCACTCAACTGTCCATTGTCCCAAACAAACAATTGATCCAAAGGATTGTCGGAAAAACCGATCTATAGTCCCAAACAGTCTAACGCACCAAGACACGACACAGGCCGTTTGCAGATGGAGATCGATACAGATCGATGCCATTCGTAGAGAGAAACAAGAGGAGTTGTCACAACTCTGGCTCGCATCGAGCTGAACCTGCGGTGACGTCACAAATAGATTGTCTTTGGCAATATTTGGCGTTCGTGTTTTGTTTGGTATGCGTTTAATCGTTTATTAAGGTATATTTGTGGCAGTGGTGAGGTGTGGTCAGTTTCTGTATGTGAGCGCTGGCAAGTAACGAATGCATTGGAGAGGGTATCGTGTGATATTTTCGTCCGCGACACTTCGCTGTTGAGAGAATACGTGCGCAGCTAGCATCGAAGTAACGTTAACTGGCAGCTTTCACACCTTAGTTTCTTAATGGTTAGGGCCTTGTAGAAGAAGGTGTACTTGTCGGCGGAGCAAATGGATCACCACAGTCTGGTGAGGGAGATGCAGCGGGGATAAACGAGGGGATCTGTCCGATACTTGACGCTCAGAGCACAGGCAAGACGGACGTATAATCAGCATGCTTCTGGCACCATTGATATTGTAAATCTGTGTTGGCTGCTGAAGATGGTGACTGGGCGCTTATGGGAATGCACCGAGTGCTGTAATGTTGGTTCGTAAATCAACTCAACACTCAACGAGTGGCGCTTGCATGCAGCGAGCGTTCTTTGTGGTATTATGATTCTCTCACCCAGCTTTACGTGTTCGCTGACAAATAAAGCGAGTGGCGTATGTGTAAAGAAAAAAATAATAATAAAAATAAAACAGTAATAATAAAAAGTAAGTAAAGTAAATGACCCTTTTCCATACCTTCAGGCGTTTTGGGCATATAGGGCTAGACCTATATGTATGTTGCTGAATGTTGAATTAAGAATCGATATTACAGAACTCGGGCCACCCCCATAAGCGCTCAGTCCCCATCTCCAGCAGCAAGCGAAGAGTTAAAATTCCGATGGTGCCAGTAACAGTCTGATTGTAATGACCTACATTTTATAGACCAAACGGCACTCGGTGAGTGATTGGGTCAGCATCTCGCCATTTAACCTATATTTTATAGACCAGTCGGTATACGGTGGGGGATTTGATCCAAACCACGCCAGCCACCTTTACTTCCCAGGACTCTCCCTGGTGCTATTCGAGGCTGGGTTGACGTGAGAGCCAACTTCATATTTGTAAATATTCCGGCTCTGTCTTGACGCCAGCCTATGACGTTCAAACCCGCGTGCGAGCGACAAAAATTAAGCCCAACCGAAAATAACTCAGGTAAACAAGTTCATGCCCTCAACTGTACAAGTGTCATATTTATTTGGTTAGTTCGACGTTAGTCTCCCCAAATAGAGTAAGTCACTTTTCATTCACACGTTTGTTGGGCAGGTCGACTTTCCTGAACGTTACGGGTGTGCCCCGCTCTGTTGTTTAGTTTCTGCGAAGTTTTGCATTTAGGTTTTATTTTTTTTATTTTTTTATTTTATTATTTTTCTTACGTCCTTCTTAGGACGTTATTTTTTGTTATTTGAAGCCCCACTCTGGCTTTTGCCAGGGGCCGCAATATAGGCAGGTCATCATTATGGCCAAATGTCTGAACGCGGTTTCTGGGACCTCTCCACGGTGATCCTCATCCGCATGGTGGCACTTTGTGTCATCGGGTGTTTATCGCTTGTGTGATGTCCTGGTGGGGTAAAAAGCCAAGCCAGCCAGCCATTTAGGTTTTCATTCCAAGAAAGAGAATGCCTGCCTATGTCAAAGGTGGCAGCACTCTCTAGGGAGGTTGTGTTAGACCTAGTTTTTCCATGTTTTTTTTTTTTTTTAGTGTTAAAAGCGCTGGCGTGCTAAAATATTCAACACGCGATATATATGGTTAGTTCGATGTTAGTCTCCCCAGAGCCCAGCCATATATACACTAGCTCACTTCTAAATGGTAGTCCCTGAGCCCCGTAACCTTCGCACACAATTACGGAGGTGTTCCGCAATGCGTTAATATCGCGTGTTGTATATTTCATCACGCCAGCGCCTATGTCGCAGCCATTCTCTTTCTCAGAATGAAAACGTAAATGCAAGACATCGCAGAAACCAAACAAAAGAGCAGGACACATCCTTAACCTTTAGGAAAGTCGGCCAGCCCACACTTGTGAATGAAAAGTGACCTCTCTATTTCGGCAAACCACGACCTTCTCTCTCTCTCTCTCTCTCTCTCTCTCTCTCTCTCTCTCTATCTATCTATCTATCTCTCTCTCTCTCTCTCTCTCTCTCTCTCTCTCTCTCTCTCTCTCTCTCTCTCTCTGGGCAGACTAACGTTGAACTAACCAACATATTTGCAGAGTGGGCATAAGAGTCTTTTAGCCTGAGTATTTAGAGCAGAATGGCTAGCGCTGTCGTCACGAACTGTGCAGATTAGTATTTTATTTTGCCCCTTATAGATAAAAATAAATATTTGGCAACATTACTGAAGACTCAAACCTGGATCTGTTCCATAGAAGCCCAACGTTCTTAACAGTTTAACCTGCCACTCCTCTATACGCGAGGAAAACTTTAGGAATACAACTTGAGTGGCCTATTTCTAAGTCCAAGTCTTGAGACAACCTGTCTGCTGATCCCTCTGTCTATGGAAAAGAATTAAGACTTGGGAAAAGAACTACAAACAGACTTAAGAAGGGGAAAACAAAAAGACTCGTTCTTCTTAAAGTCCATGTCGTGTCTTTCCACAACCTTGTGCCTCGTGACCTTTCAATCAGCTCTGACAAAGATGATCTTCCATGCCATGATGTCAAACTTGTGAAGCTGAAAACAAGCAGACACATTTACAGAAAAACAAATAGACCATACAAAGACACCAGAACCAGAAAAGGAAAAACAAACAAGACTTACTTTGAGAGGGTGGGGCGGGGGGCGGGCGACCGACTTAACATTGGGTAAAACAGACTTACAAATTTGAAAACAGATTTACGTACGGGGGAAGAGGGAGAAAGAGGAACAGATTTTACATAGGGAAAAAAGATACTTACGCAACAATCTAGAGGCTGCCCTCAACTGTTCTGCTTCAACGTTGTACCTGTCGGCTGCATCTCTCATCTCCTCTCGACAATCCTCGATGACATCGATGACATACTCGGACTCCTGGTCAAACAAGTCGATGAGGGCGTCGATGAACCAGCGCTGGATGATAACAAGAATTGTGGAATTGTGAGCAGGCCCAGCCAACACTGAAGTTCATGTTAAACACATATTATATACAAACAGGGTGGTAAGCGGGAGCCGCCGTGGTTAAGATAGATTTATATTGGTATCAGGTAAAGTCCTGGGAGGTAAAGGCGGCTTGCGTGAGGATGGCCACACGATCGACAACCGCTGATTGTTCTGAAAATATAGGTTTAGCCCTATATGCCCTACATGCCTAAAGGCGTGAAAAAAGGAAGCCTTTACTTATTTAAATGTTTAGTATGGTAAGTGAGGTATAGACAGACAGACCGACCGACCGACCGACCGACCGACCGACCGACCGACCGACCGACCGACCGACCGACCGACCGACCGACCGACCGACCGACCGACCGACCGACCGACCGACCGACCGACCGACCGACCGACCGACCGACCGACCGACCGACCGACCGACCGACCGACCGACCGACCGACCGACGACCGACCGACCGACCGACCGACCGACCGACCGACCGACCGACCGACCGACCGACCGACCGACCGACCGACCGACCGACCGACCGACCGACCGACCGACCGACCGACCGACCGACCGACCGACCGACCGACCGACCGACCGACCGACCGACCGACCGACCGACCGACCGACCGACCGACCGACCGACCGACCGACCGACCGACCGACCGACCGACCGACCGACCGACCGACCGACCGACCGACCGACAGACCGACCGACAGACCGACAGACAGACAGACAGACAGATAGACAGATAGATAGATAGATAGATAGATAGATAGATAGATAGATAGATAGATAGATAGATAGATAGATAGATAGATAGATAGATAGACAGACAGACAGACAGACAGACAGACAGACAGACAGACAGACAGACAGACAGACAGACAGACAGACAGACAGACAGACAGACAGACAGACAGACAGACAGACAGACAGACAGACAGACAGACAGACAGACAGACAGACAGACAGATAGACAGACAGACAGATAGATAGATAGATAGATAGATAGATAGATAGATAGATAGATAGATAGATAGATAGATAGATAGATAGATAGATAGATAGATAGATAGATAGATAGATAGATAGATAGATAGATAGATAGATAGATAGATAGATAGATAGATAGATAGATAGATAGATAAATAGATAAATAGATAGATAGATAGATAGATAGATAGATAGATAGATAGATAGACAGACAGACAGACAGACAGACAGACAGACAGACAGACAGACAGACAGACAGACAGACAGACAGACAGACAGACAGACAGACAGACAGACAGACAGACAGACAGACAGACAGACAGACAGACAGACAGACAGACAGACAGACAGACAGACAGACAGACAGACAGATAGACAGATAGACAGATAGACAGATAGACAGACAGACAGATAGACAGATAGATAGACAGACAGATAGACAGACAGATAGATAGATAGATAGATAGATAGATAGATAGATAGATAGATAGATAGATAGATAGATAGATAGATAGATAGATAGATAGATAGATAGATAGATAGATAGATAGATAGATAGATAGATAGATAGATAGATAGATAGATAGATAGATAGATAGATAGATAGATAGATAGATAGATAGATAGATAGATAGATTGAAAGGAACTAATGTAAAAACTTTATTTCGAAAGGGTCACAAATTAGGCACACATGCCTGTCTTATATTCGACCCCAAAACACACTTACCTTTTATACTGCTACTCTATTCTACATTTAAGGCACGTTATGTTCATATAATAAACTACAGACTCTGGGTATCAAGTAAAGTACACGAAAAAATCTATGAAAAATGCACACATTTTAATATACATAATATCAAACACACACACACACATATGCATACACACAAACCTACGTAACACACACTTATATACGCGTTCAGTCATACATATTTACATACACGCACACATACACACCGCACTTATACACATCAAACACGGACATCCAAATAGAGAACGAGAGAGAGAGAGAGAGAGAGAGAGAGAGAGAGAGAGAGAGAGAGAGAGAGAGAGAGAGAGAGAGAGAAAGAGAGAGGCTTCTTTTCTTGTCTTCAGTTTCAAGGAAGAAGAAAGTGTGGACATCACAGATGTAAGACACTTACAAGTTGAACAACTTGGGTACCCCACTGCATCAGATAGACGATGCATTAAAGAAGCTAAATAGAGAATAGCTCAAGCAAAGGCAGTTGTGTTTTTTTTTTTTTTTAACAAACTAAATAATATTTGATGCAATCTTCCTTTGTCATTTGAGACGAGACAGAGAATTCTTAAAAATTATATAAATCCAGTCTTGATATACGGAAGTGAATAAAGGGCAGCTTGTAAATTAATAAAAACTTATTTCGAAGCTACGGAGAAGTGAATTTACAGAGGAAAAATTAGAATGTCCTGGAGGGATAAAAAAGTAATGAAGACGTCTCGAAAGAAACTGACTCGTGTAGACAACTGACTGCCCACATCAACAAAAAGACAACCTACATTGTTGAGAAGAGTCGTGAGAAGAAAACTGGAGTACACTGTGACAGTAGGAAAGTTGAAGGGAAGGAGAGACAGGGGGAGACAGAGAAAAAAGATGTGGGACAGTTAATGGCATGCAGGATCATCTGTGTCAGCGTTGATTGAAGGTACACGACACAGACGGTTGTGGAAAGCATCACGACTACCAGAGCCATAGGGCATGGACTTTCAGCAGAAGACACCTAATTGAACACAGTAAAAGAGCCTTTTTCACTCCTTCATATGTATTGGGCACATAGGGCTAAATCTATATTGTATAGACCAATCGGCACTTGGTGGGTGATGTGGACAGCATCACGCCGGCCGCCTTGACTTCCCAGGACTTTACTTGGTACCCACAAGGCTGAGTCGACCCTGGAACCAAGATACTTTTTTGAAAAAAGTCTGGCTCTGTTCGGATTCGAACCCACGACGTAAGGATCCCTAGGCAAGGGCCTAGCCGCTACACGATGGCGTAATCCAAATTACAAATGTAACACACCTAATTAAAAGCATAAAGGGTGAATTTGCTAGAATTGCTGGCAATGTCGATTTATTACATCGAGTTCAGGTAAATTTTGCAGAGCGCATTAACCTTGGAAATCATTTCTATGTGACGCACGATGGTAAACGATCCACTCTCATTGCAGCTGACGGCTCAAAGAAATCATTGTGGGGGTACGGGTTCGGGGTGGGTGTGGGGGGCGCAGACCTACTTGTAATTGTCTAGAGGAAGGCTCAATGGGCTTAAACATTGTTGGGAGGGGGCCAGCTGAGCGGCTTAACCCATGGGGGCCGGCGCCCTTGTGCTAACCACCACTAAAAGACTAATTGCACACTGTATTTTCGGATCAGTTTATGTGTGCCTAGTCACAAACGGGTGACTTAGAGAAAGTATTTGTGTGAGTACGTGTGCATGTCTGAATGAATGCAAGCCTTGCACGACACTCTAGCCCTCTGAACAAAGCACTGAACCCGTGACACTGAGTCAACATTGACTTGATGGCTTTTGTTGGTAGCCACTGAGTTAGCGCTGGTGAACCCAAGAGTGCAAATATAAGAGCACGGGGCTTGTAGACCTGGCAAAAAGAGGCATCTATACAGAGATGGCGCCAATGGACGAAGGATCAATCAGGAACAATCGATGCGTTGCCAAAACAACTTCAGTGCTAAGGTCTGCAGTTCCAGTGTATCAGTAAGAAGAAACAGTTCGGCCGTTACAAATGATGAAGATCACTTTGCAACTAAATGCAACTCATCAATGGTTTTGAGTATCAAGGTAACTAAAGAGCGAGGAAAGTTCTTAAGCAGTGTGGACAACAGACGAAAGCAACAGTTAAGGTGGGATTTGTCAAACTGTTCTTTCTAGTCGACGACATCTGTGGCTTAGGCGTTGCGAACACGCTTCGTAATGCCGGAGTGTTTGGCTCGATGCCACTTGTGGTCTTGAGTGGGTTTCGACAGTGGTTCTGAGAGCTGACCGTTCAGTTAGCAATGGCAAACAAATGAATGTAGAATTTGCCTGGAAAACCCACAACAGCCAAATAAATGCTGGTGTTGGTTCTGTAACGTCCTGCAAAGGAACCGCAACTAACTTTTTAACTCTTTCTAGTCTGCCTCCGTCTCTCTTCTAGTTCAACTTCTGCTGCCTGGAAAGCTGATACACCATGTTTGAGCACTGGCAAAGACGGCTGGCAAAAATCAGTTTTATCTGCATGCCTGGACATGCAAGAGTGAAAACACAAAATGAACACGCTGATAGGCATGCAGGTAAAGCTGTTGATGTAGAGCAAAGAAACAGCATGATTTACTGAATGCCTTAAAAGACGTATGTCTGCGATCATTCGTGTGGGTTCCGGGGCCCTACTTTGGGAAAAACAAGAATATACCCACTGCCTACCCAAAAGCATGTCGTAAGAGTAATTGGGAGCTTCCTTCGGAGTCGGAGTGCATCTGCTGGGGAGGCAAGGAACCAATAGTCTGCATACAGATCTGTCAAACGGATGCACACGCAACACTCAGGTTCTGGAACAGGACTGCAGTCCAGAAGTGGACAAACAATCAGAACTTTCCGCCGGAGTTCACAGCCGGTGAACGCGAAGAAGAAGAAGTATGTCTGTGAGAACCAAGTAATGGCTGTGAATCTGCCACAATTGTCAGATTCCAACGAACTTTTGAAAACCGGAAATTCTAATCCAAGTTAGAAAATATGAAAGGGGTTAAGCCTCACCCCCCCCCCCCCCCTTTTTTTTTTTTTCTTTTTTTTTCTTCCGCATACAAAAACAAACCTATACCGTTTAACTGTCTGATTTTTTGTACACCCCAAACCAGCTAGTTTGTAGTTTGAGATCGCTCAACACTCATTGATCAGTTGAGCAAGCCAAGCACAACGTCCATTCACAAAATCCGCCCAGCTTATTAATAATTCCTTGTCTGTTTGGGTGATACCTTTAGCTCGGTCCTGTTTGTCACTATGACTAATTTATTACTTCTGTGCTTTGATGTTCTTGTTTTTGTTATCGTTATTGTTAGTGACGCAGATCTTTTAAGCTTGTCGGGTTCACGGCTGTAATTAATAGTGTTGCCTATTTAAACTTCTGTGAATATATTTCTTCTTCTTCTTCTTCTTCTTCTTCTTCTTCTTCTTCTTCTTCTTCTTCTTCTTCTTCTTCTTCTTCTTCTTCTTCTTCTTCTTCTTCTTCTTCTTCTTCTTCTATGATCGCTCTTAAAAGGGCATCTGGGCCAGTGAATGGCGCTCTACGGCTAGGCTGTGATATTTGAGCCTTTTGAGTCAAGATATTCCATTTCAACAAAACCTTAATTAGTCGTATTTTACTGCATGCAACATAAGGGACCGTACCGCCATCGAAACCCACTGCTGGCTGTGTGGATTTTCATCATGGTATAGGGCGTCGCAGGTCGACCCAGCCTCAAATGGGTACCAGGATGTAGGTCCTGGGAAAGTAAAGACGGCCGGCGTAATGCTGACCACATTACCCATCCAGTGCCGACTGGTCTGTAAAAATATGAGACGCTTTTCCCATATACCCGATGCGCCTAAGGCGTGAAAAGGGATCTTTACTTTTACTTTACTTACTATAAGGGAGACTTGGTTTTTGCTGTCCATTTTTTTTTTTTTTTTTTTTTTTTTCATTTCAGCTCAATAAATAAATAAATTTCTCAGTTAGTAGGTCAGTCAACTTACTCATTCATTAAAAAGAATTGGAAAACCTACCCGTGTGGCTGGTGACAGTGATTTCATCTTGGTTCTGAAGATGGGATTTTGTAGCAACACCTCCATGATGTCAACTATATCCTAGACGATATCCGTGCTACTTTGGTCGTTTTCTTGAATCACACGAACACACTCAGTGGATCACCAGCAGGAAATATTCACAGTCACAAGACATGAGGCGGTTCACAACACCAGAGAAATGTATATTTGTGAGCCTAGTTAGGGGCATTTATTTTATTAAAGCGGAACTATGAAAAAGAAATACAGGCAAGTTTTGTGACGAAATAATTTGTCACTCAAATTTTAGTCACTTCAAACACTGGAGAAATGCTTCACAAATTAACCTTACACTTCTTCTTCTTCTTCTTCACTTCCTCTTTTACCGCTGTGGGTGTCGAGGGAGATATAAGGTTCTGTTTCTAGCTCTTCTGGCTGCCTCGACCATAGGCACATCGTGCTGTTGTAGAGTTTCTCTGATGTTAACCTTACACTGAATGTATAAATTTATAACGCTCAGCTATGGATTGTTTCGATACTGCCAGTTATGTATTTTTAATCCTTCTGGCAGAATTCAACAGTTTTCAGCGGTCAAGGTTACAGGTTCGGCTTTTTCTTTAGCATAATTTACATCCAGGATTTTCTGTCGGCTAGCTAAATTTGAAATAAACACAATAAACCCTAACATAAAAATCTGTTCAAATTACCCTTGATAACTGGCATCATGAGGGCTAATAGACTGAAATGGATGGGGCATATTGAGAGAGTGTCCATTCTGGGTTTGGTTCTGCAACGTCATGTAAAGGATACGCAACTAACTAACAAAATCCTTGTTACAGTAGCCAGTTAGTTGCTGTTAACTCTACTGACAGACCCTAATTTATGAGTTTGCAGCCCATAATGCAGTGGCTCTCAACCTTCCTAATGTCGCGACCCTTTAATACAGTTCCTCGTGTTGTGGTGACCCCCCCCCCCTCCCCCACCCATACCATACACTATTTTCGTTGCTACTTCGTAACTTAAGTGAATATGTGTTAGCCCATAGATTTTGGCGACCCCTGTAAAAGGGTCGTTCGACAGCCAAAAGGGTCGCGATCCACGGGTCGAGTACCACTGTCATAATGTGAGATGTATACGAATTACTCCTGAACAGACAGAATAGAAAATGAAATACCGAAGAAAAAAAAACCCACTAATAAATTTATCAAACATCAAAGAATAAAGTGGTTTGGACATCTAATCAGTCATTCTACGCTACATTTGGTTGTGGTGCGCCAACGCAAACTCCATGGGATGTCTTCTTGCAAGATTGACATTCAATCAGGAAGACATTTACAGAACGTCGCTATCATCACGGCACGCCTGAAATCCTCTCTTTGTCTAGCTAATTCTCCGGTCCCGTGTGCTTTCATAACGAATGCATCTTCACTGTCTTGTATCCACATTTGCGAAGATCTACCTCTGCCTCGTTTTCGTTGGTCTTTGTTTATTTAGATATCATCTTCATCGCCCATCAGACATGACCATAAGTGCTCCGATCTGCTCCTGAGTATGTCTCTAAATGTTTTAGGCTAACGATTCATATTCTGTTCTGGCTGATGTAACAACGGGTGGCTCCCGTGTGGTTTTCCTGTCTCGCCGCTCTAATTGGTACACCCAGGGTATGCAGTCTATTCATTGAAGAATATGATTTCCACGAAACTGAAAACCTCCCAGCGTTTAGTCTATCGCATGGCATTGATGATATCTCTCCTCTCCATAGAGGGCCCATTCCTGATATAAGCAAAGCCAGCCAGGGCGTCTGCTCTCTCACTGCCTTTCACACCAGCATCTTCTGATACAAAAATCTGCTGTAGCAGATAGAGCTACTGTTTCAGTATATGCTGGAATATAAACAAAGCTAACATTGATAACTGACGAAAAAGCAATGCAAAACGTCAGCCGCTGAAGAAGAAACAAGCAGCCTTATGTAACTATTAAATTACCAATTACCGAAATTATGTAATATCCATTGTTCAATCACAAAATATCGTTTAGAGCAAGCTATATAGCTAGTGGCGCATTCCTGACACAGCTCATGGGGAAAACAACAAATACATTTTAAGCCAAATAAAACTATAATAAACACTCATGTTAAAACAATAATAATGACACAGCCATGTACATTTCTAGTTCATAAAACCTACGAAACAATACCGTCAGCACGTTTAACGAATTATAAACTCAAAACAAAATGTCGAAGTCTCCAAACTGGTGGCGACATAAAGATCGTAATCAACACGGTTGGTGTTTATGTGATTAACCACACCAATACAACTTAATTAGCTACTCGACTACTACAGTTAGATGCTGATCATATAGAACGTATTCGTCCTGGTATCGACGTTTATAAAATGAGATAGTGGGTATCGTGTGAGAATGGTTTAGGGCCAGCCAATGGAGTCCGCATCTTGAGAGAGACTCATTCATCCGGCGAAAGACCCAGTTGGTCCCTGGTTCCAGACCTTCGATCCGGCGTGACGGCAGGGCTGCCGAAGTTCGCACTATTTGACTCTTGCTGAGCAGAACTGTACTTTTGGTACCACGCTTGATGTTTTGGTACGTTTTGGTATTTCTTCATCGAAATATTTAATGTTGGCATTGTACACTGGATTCAAAAAGTGTTGCTGAAAGAAGACCAACGTCATTTATTTAACCGGTGATGAAATTTCACAGCCTTATTAAAGGCAAAACATTATGAACAAATAAATAAAGAATGGAAGGAACTAATAGTGCAAGATTAACAACCTGATGTTGAAATAAAATCTTGATTTACAAATTCAGAATAAAATATGGAGGAGAAAATCGTTTTTCATTAGTATCAAAATGTATGCTTAGTTTTTCGGCATTACCTCCTTCCCTGCAGTTGCTGAAAGAGTTTTTCTTTTCTTTTTTTTTTTTAACCTGCTTAATAATATTAGGATTTAAAGAATCGCCCCTTTTTAAATACTTTAACAATACTTTATTTTAAAGTCACCTCAAACGAAGGCAATCCCGGAGTTCCAGGTAAAGTTCAGTATTCTAGTGGTTGGGGTTAGAGTTAGGGTTAGGATCTTTGCACCCACAACCGTCTCAGAGACACCGCCTAACCCTTTCTTTAATTAAATAAAAACAGTTAGCGTTTCTCTAAAACACATATTTCTATATGTGTGTGCATGTTTGTTTGTTTAAAAAAAATATTTTAACCATTTTTAATTAAAAAGTAATGTCCTTTGGTAATTTAAAAAAAAATGGTACTATTCTCAAACGAATTTATACAGCACTGATGTAAGGTCTTTGATGTTCATTGACGTCATCGTTTGGTAGTTGGAAGCTAGTTCAGCCGATTGGAAGCGGAGGGGAAGACAGTATCAATAGAGTGACAGGTAAATTGTGGATGGTGGCTGGAAAGATTTTATCATAGTCTCGTCAAAAACTGACAAGTCCATAGGAACACTGGAACTTTGGCGGAGGACTGGCCTAGATGACGATGTCGCTTTTTGTTGAGCCAGAAGCACTTTAGCATAGCTCGCTGGTGTGGCTCAGTGTCGTGAGCATTGAAGCCCTTCAGCATCGGTGCCACGTACACCGTTATTCTGGGGAGTATGCAGCTTTTTTGCCATCCTTCGGCTCGAACCCGAGACCGGACACGCATAAGGATTGTCACCTGACGCGCTATCAACTATGCTGGAGTGCCGGGCGACGTCGCTTCTAAACCGAGTAGACCAGTTTTAAACAATTTACATTGCCCGGCTCGCTAGCTCAGTTGGTTAAACCTGACTGCCCGGCGACCGGGTGACGAACTCCTTGTGGTCCTGGTTCACGCCCGGGGGTAGGCAAAAAAGCCCCATATCTCCCGAGCTTTACGGTACCTATCATGGAGAGTAGAGGAAGACAACGAGAGAAAGTCTTGTTGCATTGCATGGAGGTCTGTCGGCACACAAACTGATACATGCTGCAGTTAATGATCATGGAATCAAGGCCAACGTGTTAACTCTTGGTTTGTGGATATTTAAAAAAACAATTTACATGTTTACAGGGCATTTGTTTTTTCCTATTAAAAAAAAAAAAAAAAAGCGTCAGTACTCACCACAAAGGGACCCCCTGTGGTCAAGCGGCTGGAGTTTGCCTGCGGATCAAAAGGTCGTGGGTTGTTTTCCTGACTGAGGCCTTATTTTTTTCCCAGGTCGACGCAGCCTTGGGTGGGTACCATGTACAGTCCTGGGAAGTAAAGGCGGCCGGCGTGAAGCTCACCACATCATTCACCAAGTGCCGTTTGGTCTATAAAATATAGGTCTAGCCCGATATACCCAATACACCTAAAGGCGTGGAAAGGGGTCCTTTACTTTTACTCACCACAAACTGTCTAAGAAGGTGCCGGTACTCACCATAAAGTGTCTTAAAGGGAATTATCCTTGAACCAATTTGAGGATAGGTTGACTTGAACTAGAACCAATGTCAAGTCCCCTGCTCCCCCCCCCCCCTCCCCCGCCCATTTTTTTTCCAAATCCGTCTGGCACCGATTTGAACCCAACACCTGTGGGTCGGCCGGCTTGCGTCTAGCCAACTCCGTTTATCCACTTACATCCTAAAGAAAGGACCCACTGGACTTGACGGCTTGACAAGATCAAAGTGACCCAGTAAACAAATATTCTGCCAATCACCTGGTTGACGTCAGCTGTCGGTCGCGTGCGCAGGAAGTCACTGGCAGGGACAGACTAACTACCGGTTTTTCCACGTTATAAATCTGTAATGATGTCACGAACGAGGTTTTTGTATCGCGACTCTTCTACTTCATCTGCTTAGTGTTTACCGGCCACATACTCTGGTGGAAGGTTCTGGTTGTTCGTCCACTTCTAGATCTTTTCCTTATGCCATAATTTGAGTGTTGCGTGCACAAGTTTTACAAATCTGGCTTATCTGTATGCTGACTGTTGGTTCCTGCATCCTCAGGCAGATGCACTGCAATTTCGAAGGAAACGTCGATCCAGTCTACTTTGGCCAGACTCTCGGTAGGAAATCTATTTCTAGGAACACAGTGCAGAGTTGTA